GGTGTGTCAAAGCCGATGTCGTCGAGGAGTTCGCTGGTAACCAATGATGCATTGCTTTGGTCGTCTATTATGGCGTAAACTCTCTTTGTTTCGGTAGGCTTTGATTGTCTATACACGTCAACAAGGACTATCTTGCTACTGGAAAGACCGCCATTTGAGTCRCATTTTACTGTGCATTTCGTGTTGATACTAGATGGGTCAGCGGCATCATCTGCGKGCGCGTTAGGCTTTTCTTTATGTAATAGCACATTKTGACGCTTATCGCCGCAGATTTCGCACGATACGTTTGCGCTACAGTTTTTYGCGTTATGTTCGTTGGAAAAGCACAGAAAAYACAAGCCAGCCKTCTTTATGAACTCAGTTTTTTCCTTTAAATTCTTAGACATAAAGGCCTTGCAATTAGCGAGCGCGTGACCGTCGCTATTATGGAAGGGGCAACTCTTACTCTGTTTGTTTACATGATACGTGTTTGGCTGCGCTTCTGGACTGACGAATTTTGTACCTAACACGGTCTCTCTAGGGGTGAGCTAGTGATATTTGGTTTCTCATGATGGATTGTTTTTCGACAATTTTTGCTAAATTGTGGAACTTGGGATAGGCGTCGTTATTTTCTTCCGCAAACTGAGCGACCTCTTTATCCCACTTAGCTCTGAGTGAACGTGGCATTCTTTGTACGATAGGCGAGATTGCTATTGGGAAATTAAGACAAGCTAGTCCCGGCAGACTTTCAATTTGACTGTCTACGTCAGCGCAAATGTCTGAAAATTCCTGTAATTTCCTTTTGTCATTCTCGTCGAAATTCGCTGCGTAATGCAATCGCTCGAGCAACACGTTTGTTATGACGGCAGGACTACCAAATCGGCGTTCTAGTTCAGACCACAAGTCGCCAAGAAGTCTAGTTGGATTTGAGCTCTGACGTTTGCGGTAATTATCTACTACACGTTGCGCTTCTCCGGACGTGAATTTTCGAAGATAGTTAATCGCCTGATCGGGAGTCACGTCTATGTCGCTTAACATTGCCTTAAAGGCCTTTTTCCACGGATGAAAAAGCGTGGCATCACCGTTGAAGGTGTCTGGGTGACATTTAGGAAGATTTTGTTTTGCGATCCCCGAGACAATTTTCTGGTTGGTTGTTGTCAACGCCTCTAATATTGTTCCCGTGGCATCTCGGATGGGCGTAGACTCAAAGGGGCGTAGAGTATGCAAGGCGTGCGGTGAGAACTGATCAAAAATAGACTTGTCGGCATGTGCGCGATGGCTTGCGGTTTTCAATGTTGGTTGCGTGTTATGTTGATTACTAGGGGACCCCTCCCCCACTACGCTTCTCTCACGGTGTTCGCCTATGCTTCCTTGTTGACTTTTTCTCACCCATTCCTCTGTTCTTTTTTCTCTCTCCTGATCTAATTCATCTTCTATATCGTTAAAATCTTCCTCATCTATAACTCCAGTCTCCTCTCTCATGATTTGGTTTATCGCGTCAAGTTTTGCGGTTGCTACTGCCAATTTCCTGTCTGCGGTTAGCGTAGCAATGTTCCTTTTGTGTAACGCTCGATCACTAGATTTGCGCCGTTCCTGCTCTGCTTCGCGTTGCTTTTGCTCGTATTCTTCCTTGGCGATCAAGCGTTCGAATTCCGCGTGTGTACGTGCGGCTGCTGCGTCGGCCAATGCTTTCGCGCGAAGTTTTGCCGAGCTAGACGTGGACGCTGCTGATTTACGAGA